GGTTTAGGGTTTAGGCTTTAGGGGATGACTCCATGCCCACAGTCCTGGGATCACTGAAACGGTTTATAGGGTTTATAGGGCTTATAGGGATTATAGGGTTTATAGGGTCTATAGGGATTTATAGGGTTTATAGGATTTATAAGGTTTATAGGATTTATAAGGTTTATAGGGTTTATAGGGTTTATAGGGTTTATAGGATGAAACGGCGCAGAGCTTGGAAACAGGGTAAGGGCAGAGGGAGCTATGTGAGATGCAGAAGGAATGACATTAGCAAGGCTGACTCGGCAGCCCGCACAGCCCCCCAAATAAACAGGCGCCTTATTCTAAAAACCCTTTAAACACAGCATTCATAGTTGTAAGAAGCCCCCATGTCCAGTTCTGGCCGAGATTCAATGTTGGCACCCAGAGCTGCCACGTACTTTTCGGAAATCTTGAGCGGGAGGACGGCCTGAAATAACGGGAATTGCGACCCACCTTTAAGCTTGAGCTGCCCCACATAGAAACCCAACACCCTAGACCCCAAAATTAAACCCTAAAACCCTAAACCCAAACTTTTCAGAATCCTAATCCCTAAACGCTAAACCCACAAATTTCAGAATCCTAATCCCTAAAACCTTAAACCTAAACTATTCAGAACCCTCATCCCTAAAGCCCTTAACCCCAATTTTTTCAGAACCCTACTCCCTAAACCCCTAAACCCGAAAGTTTCAGGAATCCTAATCCCGAAAACCCTACACTGCACCTCTAGGCCTTGAACTGATCAGGATTCTTGCCCACAGTATCCCTTGCTGCCCTACCCCTTACAGCTCCCGTATAGTAATAGGGTTGAGGGTTTAGGGCCTATAGTAGTAGTATTCGGCCTTGAGGTGCGACATGTCTTCGACAGGCGTTGCTAGGCCACTCTCAGCACCGGTGAGCAGCACATCGCAGCCCCCATCACAAAGGATCAGCACATCGCAGGCCTCGTTGTGCTTTAAGAGTCTAGGGCTTTAAGGGTTTAGGGCGTTTAGGGATTATGGAGTAAGCCTTCGGCTCTTTGAAGGTTTCGGATGTTAGGACACATCGCCTCATCGCCAAACTCCAGCTTCAGGGCTGCTCGGTAGCCCTCGGTGTACTGAGCAATCGTAGCATAGTGGGACAGGGTGTAGATGTGAATCCCAGTAGCCTTGGCCATCCGAGCTTCTGGGAAGTAGACCTGCTCCTCCGGATCCTCGGCTATCGCTGTGTTCGACGGCTCAACCCGCCAACACTTTCGTGCGACCTGCTGGCAGGTTTTAGACAGCAGCCCATCCTTCGTAAAGGAGAGGCTGAAGAAAGCCACCTGACGAGCCGTGTCCTTGATCTGCTGGTAGATCGTGGAAGTCCCAAGCACGTCACATCCCCCTCCACATCCTGCCAGAACAACGCGCTTTCCTGCAAGACCATGCATGAAAGACTCCATGGCGAGACACCAATTGGCTGATGTAAGGGTCCAAATCTAAGTAATGTTCAGAGGGCTTCGGGGGCATCATGTTCTGATGGGGTAGGGGTTTGCAAAGGAAGACAAAATCTGCCAATCAGATTGCTACATACCTCATTCATATTTCTTTGCGCTCCAGAGCTGAGGGTGCCTCTGACCGTCAGTGTAAGTTGTTGCACGCTAGCCCACCTATAGATGATAGAAGAAGTCAATCAGAAGCAGTACATGGCATAAGAGATCCGGCGAGGCTCGGCCATAGCACGTACAGACTCAAGCCCCTGGCATGGAAACCCTAAACCCTCAAACCCTAAACACTAAACCCCTAAACCCTAAAACCCTAAACCCTCAACCCCTCAAACCCTAAACCCTCAAACCTAAACCTCAAAGCCTTTCTCGAACCCCCAAAGTCCAAGGTTTACTTGCTCCTTCCCTCCCAGGTTGTGGGAGTTTAAGTCTGCGGGAGCTGCAGTGCCTGAACTAGAGGAGCAAAACTGCCCTAATGTAGGGCCTAAACAACTAGAATTAGAACAGGGTTTTTGGGGTTCCTTATTGTAATTATAGTATAATGGGCCCCAAAACCCTATTCTAATTATTAAGGCCCCTATATTAGAGGCTAAACCGGGACTCCCGAGCAGCTACAATGATAGTTATGGCTATGATATTTTAGGGCTCAGGGTTTGAGGCTAGGGTGTCAGGGTTTAGGGTTTGGGGCTTCGGGTGTAGCGTTTAGAGTTTTTAAGAAACCCGAAGAAACAGTACGAGGGACTAGTCAAGCTTCTAACCTTCACCATGCTAACAGCACTTGTCTTGCAAAAGGCCGAGTCATATTCTGAATAAATGGCAACCATTGTCGTCATCACCATCATCACCATCATCACTAACATCATCGCGACCATTGTCTTCATCGTCAGCATGAGCATAACATCTTCACCATGAACTTCAACGACATCAGAACCATCATCATCGCAATCAACATCAATGCCACCGTCTGGCAACCACAAGAACAACCACCATCACAACGACAATGCCTGCAACAATCATGTGGCTAGTAAACTGACTCAAGCCTCCATTTAGCCCTGTGTGCCAAAACCCTGGTCCTATGCAACTCTTCCCACACCCATCACAATCTGAATGAACCTTGATTAGTGCGGGGGAGACAGGGAGAAACAAAGCACCAACATTTGGGCTGGTTGCTGTTGGTAGGCGTCGGCGCCAAGAATTACCCCCCTCAAATTGCGAATATGAACTTCTCTGTTTAATATGTGGGACCCTTAAACCCCCGAAAACCAAAGCCCTCCAACCCGCAGAACCTCCAGACCCGAATCCTCCAAACTCCTCCAGAACAGTGAACCCCAGAAAGGTTGGAACATGGGTAGTTCTCTAAACTAGGGTCCTTTTTTGGGTCCCAAATATTACCCACCCACACGGATTTAGGACAATTAGTGCTAGGATTCCCTATACCCTATGCTTTTCCTTCAGGAGGATATCGATGTTCCAAATCTACTGTATAGTACCCCTAAACGAAACCCTGAGAGGATCCCTAAGGTACCCTTCAGGCACCCTTCAAAGGAACCCTTAAAGGAACCCTTGCAAAACCCTTATGGTGCCCAAAGGGGAACCCTGCAAAGGAACCCTGGGAGGGAACCCTAAAACCCTTTAAGGGAAACCCTTCCAAAGGAGCCCCTCAACCCTAAACCCTAATTCCTAAACCCTAAACCCTGAACGCTAAACCCTAAACCCTAAACCCTAAATCCTGAACCCTAACCCTAAACCCTCAACCCTAAACCCTAAATCCTCAACCCTGACTTTCTCTGGAGCTCCGGGATACTCCAGGCGTCGTTCCGTCTGCGACTCCGAGATCCTAGGCCTTCTGGGTTTAGGGTTTAGGGCTTATAGGGTTTAGAGTTTAGGGTTTAGGGTAGAGATCTTCGGGGGTTTTGGGGTTTTAGGTTTGGGGTTTTAGGTTTGGGGTTTAGGGTGTTAGGTTTCGGGGGTTTTGGGGGTTAGGTTTGGGGGTTTTGGGTTTTAGGTTTGGGGTTGTCGGGTTTTCGGTTTGGGGTTGTCGGGTTTTAGTGGTTTTAGGGGCTTAGGGTTCAAGGGTTTTTGGTTTGGGGGTTTAGTGGTTTAGGAATTTAGTGATTGTTGGTTTGAGGGGTTCAGGGATTTTATGGTTTGGGGGGTTTAGGGTTCAGGTTTTGGGTTTGGGGTTTTGGGGTTAGGGAGTTAGGGTTAAGGGTTTCAGGTTTTGGGCTTGGGGGGTTGAGGGGTTAGGGTTAGTTTAGGGTTTCAGGTTTGGGGTCTAAGTGTCGAGATTCGTGTTTAGGTCTGGGGCATTTCACGGCTTCGGGGCTAGTTCGGGTTCAGGGCTTCAGGAGTCAGCTGGTGTGACTCAGAAGTGCCGCGACGATGGCATGGTCGGAGGGGAAGTCCTGAGTAAGGTAGGGGCCGAAAAAAATTAGAATAGGGTTTTTCGGGGCCCATTCTACTCTATAACTATAACTATAGTAAGGAACCTCCAACATAGTATTGGTAACTTTTAAGGCCCCTACATTGTGACAGGTGGTTTCTGCGTGTGCGAATCCCTATTCCTGTCTCTCCCGCGCTCTCTCAGCCGGCTCCCGTCTCCGTCCCACTCTCTGTGTCTCTGTTTCGCTCTCGCTCTGTCTCCGTCTCTCCCTCTGCCTTCTGAAATTTTCTCGCTCTCTCATTCTCGCACTCGCTCACACACTCACTCACTCACTCACTCACCCGCCCACCCACTCACCCACGCACCCACCCAC